GTCAACCCTGAAAAATGACCTTGACTAAAAGAAGGTCAAGAAATAAACTTTACGGTAGAAGAAGGCAAGAATGGAGCCAATGTCTTAGTAGATTATGAGATAGAGATAAAATAATTATATAATAATCCATCATGAAAAATAACTCAAGACCAAAGCAATTAAACCTTAACCCGCTTTCAATAGCAAAATTCTTTTATGAAAAACTCGGAGAAAGAGGAGTAGAACAAACTTTTTTACAACCTATTACCTATTTGGCTTGTCAAGAGATACTAAAAAAAGAAAATTTGTTGCTTTTCAAAGAAGAATTTATAGTTGGTGTCGCTAGTCCAATTTTGCCTTCTCTTACTAATTTAATAAAAAAACATGGAGACCACTTAGATGACTTTTTTTCTCAATTTCCTGACCTCACTGATTACCGAGTATTACCTTACTTAGAAAAATTGGCTAAAAAACATGCTGATTCTTTGGGTTGTGAACTTCAATATCAGGCACAAAGAAGAAGTGGGATAACCGTCTAAAATATGTTATTTTCTTTTGATAAATTACTAATTGACTGTGTTCATGATGATTTACTTACTAATCGTTTAAGAGAAAACCGGTTAAGGAATTTCTTTCCTTCTCTCCTAAAAATTTTAACTCGGCATTCAGGACATACTTGAAAACAAATTAAAGCCGAAGACCCTCATTTTCATATGCTTACGGAAAAAGAAAAAAATTCTTTGGAAAAGCAATTGAAAAGATACTATAATCGTCGTAAACTAGCCGAATATTTGAATAATTTTGAAATCTGCCAAATGTCTTTGGACGAAAAGGAGGGAAGAATGATTGGAGTTCTTCGCCAAATTAATAATTCTCAAAAGCATCCCGAAAGAAATTATTTATTTTGACCCTTATTTCTTGATTTCGAACATACCTTTCACCCGAACTTATGGAAAAAAAAACTTAAAGAAGGTTCTTTAATTTGTATCATGAAAGAGGAAGATTGCCCCGCTTACTAGATTCCCTAATTATCCACTAAAAATTTTTCTGATTTCTGATAAAACTCTTCAAAAAACTAACCAAATTTTTTGCCTAATTTTTGCTTATAAAGATTTTTATTCGGCTCTGGATAATAATCTTTATCTAAAAAAACCCTATCATTCCCCTCTTAACAACTCCCTAAAACAATCATATAGCCCTGTAAAAGCCCGGTAACGGAAAACTAAACTATCAGCACTCAGAAAAAAATATTGAAGGCTCTCCTAAGAAATTAGCAACCTTCCAGCTCTCCTTTTTTAAGCAACTGAAAAAAATATTACTTTCTGAACTTCCTCCTTGTATAAGAAATAAATAACAAAACAATATGAACTTAAAAGAAAATAAATACACTTACTTAGCCATTGGCATCATTGCGGGTTTAGTCTTAACTTATGGTTATCAAAAATGAGCCAAAAAGGATAATTAATTATGAGAAAAGCAACTAAAATTACTCCTAAATCTCCCATTCGCCATCATTTAGAAGCCGCTTATGACTTGGTAATTACGGATCTTTTTCACTCGCTCAAAAAGTTAAAAGATGGTGATAGTATTAAATTAGGTAATTTAGGAACTTTCCAGAAAAAGCAACGAGAAATCACCACGGCCCTCAATGGTAAAACTTATGTTTATTATCAGATTAGTTTCAAGGCTTCCAGTACTCTAAAAAAAGAATTAGATAAATAATGGACAAAAAAGTATTATTATTAGTAGTAGCCGCCATTTGCGTCGGTCTTTACTTCTATGGACAACAGATTAAAAAAGACAATGATTATCTAAAATACTTACCCGCGATTGGTGGAGGTGCTTATGCCTTGAACTTTATTGTTAATTTAGCCACTCAATAACTCACTTATGAATAACAATCCGAACTGAAATAATAATCAGACTCAAAATCAAACTAATAATAATTTACAAGAGCAAAACCAGCCAGCACCACCGCAAAATAAAGGTCTGTTCTCCTTGCCCCCTCAGATTATGCAGTTTGTTCCCTGAATTCCCTTAATGTTAGAAATGACTACGGGTCAAAAAATCCCGCAAATGTCAGGAACCATTGGGGAAATCTCACAAGGCATCCAGCAAATCCAAATGGCTCAGGTGCAGATAATTCAGCACCAGCAAAATTTAGACCAAAGATTAACCAGTCTAGAAAATAGTGCGAGTAAGCAATTAACTGATATTTCTCAGCAAGTCCAAACTATTAAGTCCATTCGTTTAACTCACCAAAAAGAAACCAAAGCCATTGATTACAATCTCAATCAAGAAAATCAGATCAATTAACCATGTCCTTTTTCCCTGATATCACTCCGTTAACTAATGAAGTTAAGAAATTTAATGAAACCCAGCAAGTAATTATCGCCCTGTTACAGGAACAAAATCAATTATTAAAACAACTTTTACAAAATTCAAAATAAATATGGCAAAAGAAAAACAATTAACCGAAAATGACTCTCCCAAAAGCCGAAGAATAGAAAGCATTGACACCGCTCAATTAGAGTATACCGCCACCACTATGTTCACTTATGGCACGATTTGTGTTGCCGTAATTGGCATTTATGCTGCGACTATCTATCTCTTTGTCCAACAATTAAAAAAATAACCTATTTAAATATAACTCTATGACTAACCAAAATCAAGAAAATCAAAACACTTTAATGTCCTGAGCCACTGGCAAAGTTGCCATGTTCGCCATCGGCTTAGCCGTCGGAATATTCCTTTACAAAACCGGAGTAATCCAAAAAGTAACTGGCAAACTATTCAGTAAAAAGGAAGAGTAGTCAATACTCTCCTATTTTTAAGCCTTGTATAAGAAATTATGAATGACTCCACTACTCCCCAAATCTCCAAGACACAATCAACAATACTCTCTCAGAAATCTTGACCCAAGATTCTGCTAATCACCTCCGCATTCTGTCGTGAAAAAGCAAGAAAATCCCCAATGCTCTCATCTTGAAATTTCAAGGGAAGAGATATTTGGGTTTGCTGAGAAAAGACAAAAAAGGTCAAGAGTATTGAAGATATCACCCTTTAACTCAGCCTGCGGAGTTGTCCAAGTCAAACCAAGTAAAAAAATATGAACAATCAGAAAATATCAACGAGCAGTCCAGCAATAACCACTCCGAGCAATCTAACTAGCACCGTTCAAGATTTAAGCACTAGTTTAACCGCTATTGCTCCCCAAAACTCCGAAACTACTCAGTTAATTACTTACACTCTAATCGCCACTGCCGTAGTCGGGATCTTTGTTTATCACTACATCAAATCCCAAGAGAATTTATAACTATGGCACTCAAAGACTATCTCCCAGACTTCAAGGGAGCCTTAAACTCCTTTTATGATGAAAGACTAAAAGACGCCATTGAAAATAAGAGTGCCGAATATAAGAGATTATTACAAGAAAACTTTGCTTATGGTCAGAATACTCAAAAAGCCTTAATTGCGATTGCCTTAGGGATATTTTTATTACTGGCTATTGCTTATTTTTGGAAAGATGAATAAAACCAACAAAAAAAACTAACTAAAAAATATGAAGAATTTAAAATACATCGCCATCGGAATATTAGTGGGCTATTTAGGACTTTATGTCTATGAACTGTCCCAACATAAAAAGAAAACTTTTGGTTTTAACCGCCAAAACGAAGAAGATAATAAATAATTATGTCAAAAACTACCTCAATAATCTGATTTTCTATTTGTCTGGTAGTCGGTTTTTATGTCAGACACTGAATAAATACTGGCTCGGGACAATTTAGGAGATTCCAAGATTTTTTTTAAAAGCTTATGTCAACTGTCCCCTTTTTACTTTGCTCGGCTCTAGCCGTATTCTGCGGCATCTTAGTCCAGCAAACCATTGAAACCTTAATTAATACCTCCTTGACTTTATTGCCTTTTAATATCAGAACTGTTCGTTAGGATGGTGAAAGTCGGCTTACTTTGTCAAAAATCTAGAAATTTAAAAAAGAAAAAAAATATGCAAAAGAAAATATTAAAATCAAAAAATACTACTAAAAAAACAGTAAGAAATCCCTCAATTGTTCCCGTCAAAAAAACCAAAAACACTCCGGTTTATTACCAATGTATGTCCGCTTGTTGTCAAAAAGGGAAAAAGATTACCCAAGTAGCCCGCGAGTGTAAACAAAATAGTCCCGCCCTCATCGCTCAAAGAACTAAGCAAGTTAAAGAATTACAAAAGGCTTTAACGGTGGTGCAGAAGTTTGCCAAAAGTTTAGAAGCAGTTTTAGTGAATAATTATTAGCCCTGATGATTACCTGCTGCGAACTAGCCCTTTACACGGTGATGGGGGCTTTTGTAGTGATTTTGGCTTTATTGGCCATGTTTTTTAATTACACCCTGAAATTAAAAGACCGCCAGATTATCTTAGAGAAAAAAAACGGACATGAACAAAAACAGATCGATGAAATAAAAAAGGATGTAGAACAGTTAAAAAATGGCTAAGTGTTTGCTCTGCCAAAAAAGAAAGCGAATCCTTGACTCTAATCTCTGTTGATGATGTTCTTTAACCCAATGTCCTTGAAATTAATTAAAATGACTACCAATCAATTACTTATTTGTCTCGCTATTGTTATTCTCCTTTATTGTGTCTATTGCTCTATGAATAATCGGAAAAAAAATCATTTAGGAAAAGATAAAAAAAAAGACCAAACAAATGATTGAGAAAAAAAGTCCGGGAAATACAAAATTCTGGAAGATTTTTTTCAAGGTATGTTAGATAAAAAAGTAGATGAAAATCTTAGAGAAGAAGTCAGAGAATGAATAAAAGAACATAAATCAAAAAATGACTAAAAAAGACCAAGACTTTGTTAAAGAATTACAAGAGGTGCAAAAGTCTGGTAATTTCAAACCTTCTCAAATTAAAAAAAGCCGTTCGGCCGAAGATTTAAAACCACCCTCCAAGTCTAATCCTGA